TACGCGGGGCTCCGCCAGCGCTAGCTCTCGCCCCAGGGAGGTGAGGGCAGGCTGCGGGCGGGCAGTGCTGCGTCCCTCCCCTCTGCTCCGCCAGCAAAGGCACCCCACGCCCCGCACCAGGCACCTCTCCCGCCTGCAAAGTGCTGTAAGGGTTTTTAAGCGTCAAACACGGGGATAGTTACAAACCTCTCAAACCTGAGGGGGTTTAATCTCCCTCTTTCTCCGACTACAAACCTCCACGCTTGGCCACGTCGTGTAAGCACTCTCCGCTACGCTCTTCCCCCCCACCAAAAAAAAGGACAAACGCGGGGCAAGCCGACCACCTCGGTCAGGGAGGGCAGCGGCAGGACTCCCGCCCCAGAGCCTCGCGGAGAGCTCCGCCAGCCTCTTCTCCTTAGCCGCACCCGATCTCCTGCTTGCAAAACGGCGAAGTGCTTTTTCCAACACGACGTTAATGTTTTGCCAGGTTTATTTTATTTGTTATACACAGACGATACAAACGGGCAAAAACCGAAACATTTCTCAATGGAGCATGTACTGGTATAAATTATTCAGTTCCACAGACGTAACAGAACAAATATAAAAATCACAACATTCGATTTACAGAAGAGTCAAAAATATACACACGTTTATGACCCTGAATTTCTATTAGGAAATTTCCCCATCGAGTGTAATCTAGACTGAATATTTAGCCTGATGCATATTTCAGTTTGTAATTGGTGTTTTTTCCATATAAAAATGTGTTAATTGTATAGATTTGCTACTCAAAATTCGAAGACTTATTCTGCTTCACCGGGGGGAGTCCTGGAGGGATATTATTTCTCCTTCAATAATGTAATAAGAGGTTTACAGGAAAGATCACTCTTACTTTCGATGTGCATTTGATTCCCCAGGAAGTCAGATCTCGGTCAGCTACTTTATGAAAAAGTCAATTCCAAAACTAAATGCAGTAAAATATACAACTCACAACTCATCTTCACTGGACTACACTATGGTTACCAACAATTCAGTCGTCTATATCTTTTTTCTTCTTTTTTCTTTTTTTTTCCTTTTTTTCCTTTTTTTTT